AAAAAAAAAAAAAAAAAAAAAGATATTCTCCCCCCTCAATTTTTTGTCATTAGAGACTACAAACGCCTGGCAATATATTTTTAAAGTATGAAATTAAAGATGTTACAACAGAATTGTTTATAGATACATAAGTCACAGACCCTTCAAACTTTCTTAAAAAAATTTTTTTTTGTAAATTAAAACTCTACTTGATTCCTTTGATGATAGCTTTCCCCTATAAAGGATATTAACTTTTTGAGGGATCTTACATTCTAATACATGAATTTATTCTTACAGAACCCAAATAGTCTCCCTTCTCATAGAATTTTTCTTCCTGCTAGAACACAAAAATAGATAATAAAGTGCTGTCATTATCTATATTGCAAGAAAAAAACCTGATTTAAAGAGTGCCATGTCCTAATAGTCTTGTCTACTTTAATTCTAACATATCAAAAAGAAATAATTACCCAAGGCAGATTCAGGACTATCTACATCTCTGTTTACTATTCTGAACTTCCTATGACAGGTACTAGCATACTTATAAAATTTTAAGTAATCCCTAGTGTATTTCTTTCTTTTTCACAAAAGAATATTATAAAAATCTGTTCAAGTGCTTTTTTTTTTTTAAATGCTAACACAGTTATTCAATACTCAGAAGGCCAAATCTTCCATTACTGGCTTCGTACAGTTAAAACTCCGATTAACTGGTATAAGTCACAAGTGTATAAAGAAAGATTTTTGTGTGTAGGTTGATATATTAACCACATTTGGTAGAAATTGTTCCTTAAAACTAAAGTCTAATGAATACTAACGACGGTATCGAAAGACAAGTAATGACTACTTCTAACCACCTTAATGTTAAGATCTTCTGGATTAACCAGATACAAAGAATTATCTACATTGAGAAACCTTAAGAGAGCAAGACTACAGAAGGAAATTCATCAAAAATTATTACAATGAAGCGGGGAAGGTGAGGCACTAAGGGATACAAAAGTTAATATCCATCAAAGACATATACACACACGAAACCAGCTCAGGATCCCTGCTCTAGTTGTTGCTTCTTCCTGGAGCACTTCTACCCCAGATAGCTTCATACTTTACTCCCTCATTTCCAAAGTCAGCTTCTCAGTGAGGTCTGCTCTCACCACAGTATTTACAATCACAAGCCAGTCTGTCCCGTCCCCATCACTCCCAATTCCCCTTAATGTTTTATTTCTTTTCCATTCAACTTACCATGTAAAATACTACATAATATTCCTATTTAGTTTATTATAATCTTCCTCTCCTCATCAGTAAAAAGTAGGCCCCACCAATAAAATGTAAGCCCCACAAAGGCAGAGATCTTTGTCTATTTTGTTCACAGATGTATCTTCGGCAACTAGAAGAGTGCTTAGAAGCTAGAAGGCACTCAGGAAATATCTCTTGAATAATGGCTCAATGAATACACAACTATGCATACAATGAATAGATCCAAAGTAATATGCTTTTGTGTTCCCTTTGGATATCAGGCTATAATAAACCTGATTTTAATTATCCAGAAGGTCATATGAATGTACACATAGGTATACAAATCATGTCACATTTCCCCTTTAGTGTATCAATCAGTAACACATAATTACCTGCATCTTCCAATAGAGCACAGAGCAATGGGATCACCCACCACAGCAACCAGGGATTGTGCTCTTGTGATGGCAGTATTGAGAAGCTTGTAGTTAGATAAAAAACCATAATCTAAGTCCTCTGTGGAATCTTCCAGAAGTTGCTCTTTCTTTTTAATTGGTGTCTGTTTATGTTTACAAGTATGTCTTGTACGTACTGTGCTAAGAAACAAAACTCTGAACTGCTTTCCTACAAAGAAAATTTTTAAGAAAAGACTTAAGATTGTCATTCTGAACCACTGACATAATAAAAGCATTGCATTTTTTAAAATGTAATTTGTAAATGACAAACATTGGCAAAGATGTGGCGAAACTGAAACCCTTATGCACTGCTGGTGAGGATGTACAATGGTACAGCTGCTATGGAAAACAATGTGGCAGTTCTTCAAAAAATTAAACATAGAATTACCATACGATCCAGTAATTCCATGCTTACGTACATATTCAAAAGAACTGAAAGGAGCCACTCAAACAGATACTGGTATATCCTTGTTCATAGCAGGATTATTCACAACAGCCAAAAGGTGGAAGCAACACAAGCAAGTATCCCTGGACAGAGGAATGGATTAACAGAATGTGGCATATACATTCAATAGCTTATTCAGCCTCCTAAAGGCATGAAACTCTGAGACATCCTACAACATGAACGAACCTTGAAGGCATTATGCTAAGTGAAATTAACCAGTCATACAAGGACAAATACTATATAATTCCATTTATATGAGATAGCTAGAATAGTCAAATTCGTAGAGAAAGAATGTAGAAGGGTGACTGCCAGGAGAGAAGGAGGAATGGGTCATTTAATGCGTATACAGTTTCAGTTTGGAAAGATAAAGTTCTGGAGATGAATGGTGATGACTGTTGCACAATAATGTAAATGAACTTAATGCCACAGAACTTAACGTTCATAAAAATGGTTAAAATGGTAAATTTCACATTATATATCTTTTACCACCATAAAAAATTTTTTTAGTGATACTGCTGGAACCAACCTTAAAGACTATCTAGTCCCAGGTTCTGCCCAATACAAGGACCCTTTGCTGAAGCAGTCACCTAGTCTCTGGCCAATGAGGGCAGGCACAGCTGCTTTCATAAGGAAGTCTACAGAAAGTCTAGGTGTATTATATTTTCTCTGACGTGCTTTATATAGTAACGTATCTATCCTCTTACCCTATGACAAATCTCAATACAGTGTGGACGTCAGTCCTTAGTCTTCTCTTCTCTAGGTCAAACGATCCTAGTTTTCTCAACCATTCCTGACTCACATGGCAGTTTCCAGACCATTCACTACCCTACGTCTCCTCTGAGTGCTTTCTGATTTGCTCCTAATGTTCTTTCTAAAATGCTCACCTAAATTCTGTATAATCTGGACAACACATAGTACAGTGGAACTACTTCTTGCCCCACAATCTGACCGCTGTGTATTACTCTTACTGGTATCATCCTAAAACCTAACATTGGATTAGGCTTCATTTAGAGTTAACATATTAGTGTTGCTTCATATATTTAAAAGCACAAATTTTATAGCAATTAATTACATGAAGATAATTTAAAAGAGTTGCTGTTAACTATAAACTTAGAAAAGTCTATAGATAAAAATCTTTATGAAGAAATTCATCCTCAGATATAGTATAACAGCAGAATGTGTTATATGCTATTATGACTGTAATTCACAGCATACTCATGCTATGTGGCATTTATACAATTATGGTCAAAGAAAAGGTACATTTGTTAATACTTCTTTTATTTGGATATAAAAATTTAATAAACATGTAAATGAGTTCAACCTTTAATTGCTAAACTTGGCATTAAAGAACTTGATAGGAAGTGAGCACATAATTGCTTCTTCAGAAAAGAGATCTTGAGCATTAAAAATCCAATGTGAACACACTTTAGATTTAAGCATTTGAATGACTTAATTCATTTCAATTAATACTTACCTTGAACATTTAGCACCCTTTCTACATTAACATCAGATAATCTCTTTTTTCGAAGTTCAGCACGTATTCTAAACACTTGATCAGCATATGGAGTCACCACACCAATACTGCCATCATCTAACTTCCCCCACGCTACTGGCCACTTCCTTCTTAACTCTTCTACGCGTTCCACCACTTCAAACACCTTTAAACAAACACACACACACATATTAAAGTTATCACCAATGTTTGGAGAAAATAATATGGTCACTGAAAGAGATTATAAAGGATCCCATTTTAGCAGATGCCATTTAAAAAAACTAGCTCTAAATGGGAGTAATGCTTTCCTGATGTGAACAGAGTGACAATGTAAATTTTTCATTTACATTTTAAACAGTAATATTTCCCAATAATAAAACCAGTGGGAACAAGAAAATCAGAGATAATGCTATTGGCCCCCAAGTTCCCGTACAGGGAGGAACAAGCTCAAGTTCCTGCACGGGGAAAAAGACAGGGAGTGGCCATGATACTAGGGAAAGCAAGTCCTCATAGCCCCAGTAATCCTCAGTCCACTCTCTCCAGATCAGGCCAATGAAACTAACCAACCAACAGGAAAGCTTCCTGTCATCAGTGACATCACCAAGTACCAGCAGTACAAGGTCTAACATTGTCCCCTTCTTCACTGATATAACCAAACAGACCAGCCAACAGCCGTCAACTGACACCAAACCACAGTTGGGACTAGGCCACATTTGGATCAGAGAAACAGAATTTGAGAATTCAAGGCCTGCTCGTGGTATAAGTCCAGCCAAGCCATTTCATTAACCTTGCAATAATAAAGCAATGCCACAGTTTATGCAGCTGAATTTTTGAGATCCCATTTATTAGAGTATGATAGGGTTTTTAGGATAGCTTGTTTTATTTTAATTCAATGAACCGATCAAACAGTTTCAATGATTGACACAGTGGAGAAGATACAAAACTTAATAAAACATGTTCCTCGCCTGCTACTTACTAAGAAGAGCTTACAGTTTATTTAGAAAAGACAGTCGCAAAAAAAAGTATAAGGCAAGCACAATAGAGGGTCTAGGGGCATACAGAGGAAGGAGATATCTTTTAAAATGTCTTTCAGTACATCATTTCTTTATTACTAACAATATCTATTTGAATTTATAATATTAAATATATTTAATTAAAATTGACAATTTTCATCTTTTGAAGAACTTGAAGGTTATTGACTAGGAAGCAGTTCCCATGTCCAGATACAAATTCAATGAACTACAGAGGTAAGGACTTTAGTCATCCTGTTGTTATTATGACACAGCAGCAAGTGCATGAAACACATAGACTACCCAGGGAATGTGAAGAGCAAACTAAAGACATGGCGTCCTCACTATCAGGAAACAGAGTAGACACACTGAGTCTACTGCAGTAAGGAATAAGAAAAATTTATCTTTACCCATGTGGTTAGATATGAGGATAGATGAGTTGGGAGACACCTCTGATTCCCCCTCCCACCCCACAAACAGAGTCCCCACCACTAAGCAACACACAACCAATTCTGCTCTTTATCCTCCTGTTGTGTAGTCAAAAAACCGACTTAGAATGATGATATGAGTCATTTTGGGAAACCTCTCTCCCAGACAGACATCTTTTAAGCTGGTCAAAATTAGCAAAGACAATCACTTAAAGTCTCTAAAGACAAATCAAAGAGATTAGAAGAAGTCGAGACACATCTATCTATTCAACAAAACCTATAAAAACTCACTAAGAACAGTGGAAGATTGAGGCCTACAAGCTAGGGACTGCCCCATTCCCCCACAGCTCTGTCTTACAAACTGTTTCAACAGCCAAGGGACAATTCCCATCTCCCTAGCTCCCACCTATTCCAGGTGCTTTGGGCAGCTGGTAAACATTGGCAGATTTCATTTTTCACAGCTTTGTGCTGCAGAAGGCCTATGATAAGCAGTTGGCAGTAGTCAGGTGGTGCCTGTTCCCCAAACCCCATCTCCTGCTACACAGGGAGTAGGACAGTGGGTGGCAGTGCAGTCCCTCTTTCCTACGTAGCTCTGTATGGCCTTGGCTGCCCATTGACAATTTCCATGTTCTCCAGCCTTCTAGCACAGAAGACCTATGCTGGGTAGATTCAACAGCCAACGAACATCAGCAGATCCCAGCCTCCGCTGGTGTGTGTTGGAGAAGACCCACACTTGGTAGTGGCACCAGCTGGATAGAAGCACCTGGATGGCAGCATGGATTACATACAGACACACAGCATACGCAGAGCTCCTGCTCCACAGGACAGACGCAGGTTGGGACAAGCAGTGAGGAGCAGTTCCATGTCCTTCCCCAACAACTGCTCTGTAAGTTCTGCCCAGGAGAGGGTAAGAGGAAGGCTCACAAACTGGCAACACTCTGCCTCTGCCAAGAGACCCATGGCAGCTGGATCATACCGTGGAGCAATTTATGCCCCAGGAAGTGGAAAAGTGAAAACACTGAAATGAAAAATTATTGCCAAGAATCAACTGTAGATTTGAGCTAACAGAAGCATGAATCAGCAAATGTGAAGACACACAGCAGTTATGCAATCTGAAGAACAGAGACAAAAAGTAATGCAGAAAAAAGAACAGAGCCTCAAAGAAGTATGGAACACCAATTAAGCTCACCAACTTTGAGTAGGATAAACACAAGGAGATCCACACCCAGACAACCACAGTCAAAACTAAAATCAAAGACAAAAATAAAACTTGAAAACAGCAAACAACTCATCACTTACAAAGAAATTCCAGTAAGACTAAAAGATTTCTCACCAGAAATAATGGAGGCCAGAAAGCAGTGGGAAAACATATTTCAATTTGCTAAAAGAAAAAATTCAACCAATAATCTTATACTCTACTTTTCAAAAATGAGAGCAAAATAAAGACGTGCCCAGATGAAACAAAACCTAAGAGAATTCCTTACTTGCAGACTCCCCTTACGAAAAATACTAAAGGAAGTTCTTCAGGGTGAAAGCAAGTGATACCAGACAATAATTCAAATCCACACAAATAAAGTATACTGGTAAAGGTAATTATGTGGCTAATTATAGAGGACAGTATAATAATGTATTTCTTCTCCTTTCTCCTAACTGATTTAAAAAGCAATTGCATAAACTCATATGTATATAATTGTATTGTTAGGTTATAACATATAACAATGTAATATATCTGACAATAACAGCACAAAGAAGGTAGGTAAAAAATGACACCAATATGGTAACTCAAAAGCACAAAGAGAAGTAAAAAAGAATCAGTATATATAAGAAGGTTAATATAGCAAACTCCATAAACATGTACTTGTCACCCTTCTCTCAGAATTGTTTTTAAAAAAGTGCATAAATTAATAATTATAAAAATAGAGTATTGAGTTTGCTACATATATGTATATTATATATACTATAATAGCACAAAAAAGAAGGGGGGATAGAGCTATGTCAGAGTATAGTTTCTATATCTCGTTGGAATTAAGTTGGTATAAATTTGAAGTAGATTCTGATAAATTAAGATGTATATTATAAGCCCTAAAGAAATCAAAAAATATAATTAAAAAATAATTAAAGGAAATGGCCGGGTGTGGTGGCTTACACCTGTAATCCCAGCATTTTGAGGGGCTGACGTGGGTGGATCACTTAAAGTAGGAGTTTGAGACCAGCCTGGCCAACATGGTGAAACCCCGTCTCTACTAAAAATATAAAAATTAGCAGGCGTGGTGGCAGGCACTTGTAATCCCAGCTACTCAGGAGGCTGAGGCACAAGAATCACTTGAGCCTGGGAGGTGAGGGTTACAGTGAGCCAAGAACACACCACTGCACTCCAGCCTGGGCAACAGAGTGAGACTCTGTCTCAAAAAAATGAACAAAGAATAATTAAAGGAATTAAAATGTGACACTAGAAAATACGCACTTAATACAAAAGAAGGCAATAAAGGAGACACAGGAAATCAAAAACTACATGAGACATAGAAAAAAAAAGGCTAAGGTAAATCCAGCCATATTAATAACATTAAATGTGAATGGATTAAAAACCCCAATCAAAAGGCAAAGATGGCTAGGTGCAGTGACTCACACCTGTAATTCCAGAACTTTGAGAGGCTGAGGGAGGTGGATCACTTGAGCCCAGGAGTTCAAGACCATCCTGGGCAACATGGCAAAACCCTATCTCTACAAAAAATACAAAAATTAGCTGGGCATGGTAGTGTGCATCTGTAGTCCCAGCTACTCAGGAGGCTGAGGTGGGAAGATCACCTGAACCCAGAAAGGTCAAGGCTGCAGTGAGCCATAATTGTGTTACTGCATTCCAGTCTAGGTGACAGAGCAAGAACCTGTCTCAAAAACAAAACAAACAAAAAGGCAGAGATTTTCAGATGTTTTTTTAAAATCAAGATCCAATAATATGCTGTCTACAGGACATGCACTTTAGATTCAAACATGTAAATATGATGAAAGTAAAATAATTTTTAAAAAGATATACCATGGAAACAGCAACTATGCAAGCTGAAATGGTTATACTAATGTCAGACAAATCAACTTTAAAACAAAAAATTGTACTACAGATAAGAAGGGATATTTATTTATCTTATTTTTTTGAGACAGGGTCTAGCTCTGTCACCCAGGCTGCAGTGCAGTGTTGCAATCTCAGCTCACTGCAACCTCCACCTCCCTGGCTCAAGCCATCCTCCCACCTCAGCCTCCTGAGTAGCTGGTACTAAAGGCACCTGCCACCACTCCCAGCTAATTCTTT